CCAACAATGAAATGCCTTGCAAAAATGATTGAGTGGTCATCAACATTATGTTAAGATGAATATCAAATATTAAATTCAGCTCAAGTTTCAAAAAAGATTAATAGTATCCTATCAAATAAACTCATAAAATATAAATTAAAAGTACTACAATTAAATGATTTTTAGATTTAAAAATCTGTTTTAAAATAAAATATCTCATTACTCTTAAATAAAAGTTGCATTCTTCATCCTTTTTTTCATATGATAGAAAAAGTCTTAAGATTTATTAGAAGTAAATTTGAAGGGGGTCGGGAGTAATATTTCTTCATGTTAGGAAGTATTTAAGAAAATACCAGTAGTGCATTGTGGGTTTTGAAAATTCATGCCTTGGTCTCCCTTGAAGTCATGAGACAATTTTACATGTGTTTTGTGTCAAATTTTCAAAATGTGTATAGATTGAATGTAAGATACTACCCAAAAATTTTACTCTTATTATGTGAGGACTTTAAGATATGAAATTTGAGGTTTTTCATAGCTACAAGCCCCTATGGTTTATTACCTCTTTTGATAATAAGAGTGTAATTTTGATTAGGGCTAGTTATTAGGTGCTCAATATTCAACGTATAGTAGTTGGAATTTAAAGTTTAAGATGAAATTTATCATTGCGGACTTGAAGCAAATTTTATGGGGAACGATGATGAACTCAATCAAGATCTTATAATTTTATTATCCTGGGTTTTCATAATTATTAGTCTATTTAGTTAGAGGATGTAGTGAACCCACTTTGACTAAAAGATTTTTGTCAATAAGCAATGTTTGCTTCATTCAAGACACCCTTGTAGACCTGAGATGGATATTTATCTAAGAGAATAAATTTATCACGATCTTAGCAAACAGAGGGTTTTGTGTCTTTCCAAGTATACCTTATAAATTACTGCTCAAATAAACAAAGTTATTGTGAAACATACAAGTTACAATCATGATCATAATATAGTAGAGTTTGTTTGTCAACCATACGGTCAGAGGGCTCTCACAATAACTCTCTATATTATGAATTCGTTGGGTCAAATCACGTAGATAAACAGCAAGGGTAATATCCTTATTGACGCTAGATTATCTTGAGTGTAAACATGGAAGTATGCTTAATACCACATTAGCCCTTTTTGAGCTTATGTTAAAGTCAAATTCATCCACATTGAAAAATTGTTTTGGTGAGCTGATGAAATTTCTCTTGGCATCATATAATAGAATTTACTTATATAAAATTTTAATTTTTGAAAAATTTGTACTTTTATAATTTGACACTAGAGAAAATAAATTCTCTTCATCATTATAGTGCTTTTTTTATCGTTGTATTTGTCGTGCATAATTATAATTTAATTGAAGTTTATTGTTGAATGTTGGTAGAGCATAAGATTCGTCAACTCATATCCTCATTGGGACGAGAATCAGATTGGCCCAATGAGAGATTAGTCTTGTAAACTTTAATTCCTATGACAAGAATCGTTCTGGCCAATATGAGACTTATGACGCTACCTTATATAAAAGGCGACTGCTCAAGAGCGTACATTGTTCAATTATATTGAATTCGATTTTTAAGAAGAGAGATTTTACAAAATTAAAATTATTCACATTTTCCGGTAGCTTATATTAAGTTTGTTCAATTTTATGGAACCAAGTATTTAAGTGCTCAAAACATTCGTTAGAGCACATACATGTCTTTTAGTTGTCGAGTAAGCTTTATAGCGTAAGATTATTTGACATATATTTTAAATTTATGTTCACAGATTATTTTTAGACATTTAGGATAATGTCAAAACACATGAGGAATTAAAATTTTATTTGCACACATCTCGACGTGCCTACATAATTCACTAGTATGATTTTTTGTATGCTTTACGTGGTGCATTTGCAAATGCTTCAATGCCATTATAAGATGCATTTACAAACATTTTGATGCACTTGTATATTTTGTTTGTGTATTCTTATGCACTTGCACACTTGTTGATGAACTTTAAGATGTCTCAAAATGTTAATACATTTTAATAACATTTAAATTTATCAAAATCACACATTTTCAAGATGTTTGCACGAATTATGAGGTCTTCTCACATTCTATACAAAAAGATATATTTGAATCTAAGGTATGAACTACGAGCTAATAGCTTTTGGTCCTTGACTCTATATGGTCCCAATCTTGATGGCTCATAGGGGCTCATACTCATATCTTTGCTTCAATACAAATTGTTTGTAGACCTAAATCAATTTATTAAATAATTCATTATCACCCACCATATTCAATCATGATCTGCAATGCGGTGACGCTCGAGTTAATTACACAATTATATATATATCGATTAAATTGTATTCGGATTATATCGATCTCACAAGGAACTTGTTATTTTTCAAAGTAATTTAATTACTAGTCTACTAATTCTAATTTTAGTTCAAAAGGTTATTGATTTTGAGTTTTGTAAAAATTTTGAATCCAATTTTAAAGTAAAAGATTTAATAAAAAAGTAAGAGTTTTCTACTGGTTTGAAAATATCCTATGAATTGACTTTAGTATAACTTAAGTTTCTCTAAGTGATTGTTCTACTACAATTGGCAATCGGAGCCTAATATTTCTTATTCTCTTATGAGATATAACAAATATTGAAATTACATATTATAGTTAAGTTTTCTTAACCCTACAAAAACACCCAAATATCTATATTCCTTACATTGATTGTAAATATTATTGACCATTACTATTTCACAAAATAGTTATATTTTAACGTAGTTGTGTTTCTAGTCTTTTTCTGATAGTCTTAGATTACAATGATTTTTAACAATCAAAGTGGCCAATTTTAATGTAAATTAAGCAATGAAGGTTAAAACCTTTACATAGGCATTCAAAAGTTAAAGAAAGCAGCGTTGATTGCTCTAGATTTTAAAGAAAATCAATCCAAAGAAGAGCAAAATTTAAGTGTTGAACATGACTTGAAACACAAATATTTATTGCATTAAACTCCAAACAAAGTATTACAAAACAAAAGGGAATAGAAAAATCAGATTGATGAAATCCTCTCCCAAGAATAGATCGCCCTCTTATCTCCTCCCTTGCATGATACACACTTCCACTCACACTATAGACTATGGGATTGAAAACCTTGGCACTATAACAAGAAAATGCCACCCCTTCCCCCATTTCAACAGCCCCTTTTATCCAATTTTGGCAAAAATCAGAGTTGAAATTGTCAAAACGTATGAAAAAACTAAATAATGTAGGTTAACAGGGCTAGGGCATAGCGATTTGGTGTTGCGGCGCTCCAATAGGCATTGTTGCGCTACATTCTAGACTTCGTAGTGTCGAGCTATCGGTTTTAGATACTAGGTCGGTTACCTATGCGCTGCTACAATACTTTTATATATATATATATATATATTTTCAACTTGTTGCCCTATAAATTTCATGCACAACATTAAATAAAAACATTATAAAAAGTAGACAATAATATAATTTTATTCTTAAATATACAATTATTTTTACATACTTTTTACACTTAATAAATCCATCACACTTTTTTAATATTAATTAATCTATCATTATATAAATTTACTATATATATTTTATCAATTAGTTGATTCATTTTAATTATACCATATCATATATTGTTAATCTTTTGTTCTTCGACGTATCACACTTCTCACAACCACAACGGTTATAACACTTCTTTTCTCTTTTCATGATTTGGACTAGTTTCGCATGAAATCTTATTATCCAAATATTCATAAATTTTTTATTTAATTTTTGATTTTTTTTTTAAATATTTGTTTTTTACATTAGTGAATATGTATATTAATTTAATACTGTTCATTCTTATGTCTTTCTTCAATGAACTTGTTTGTTTATACTTATTTATGTCATTTGTTTACAAAAGAAACAAATTTGGAATATATTATTGTTACCTTATTTAATTTTAGGTAAAGTAGTTAGATATTTATTCAGAAAATTTTCAACTGTTTGTTTGTTCAAATTTATAAATTTGTTTTTTAATGTTGTCTTTATTTAAATTTTAAATTTGTTTATCAACTGGTTGAAATGCTCGTCCAATTAATATAAACAAGTACAAACCAATTATGATTATAAAAAAAATTTAAATGAGCCAAGTATGAACACACGTGTGAGCGCAGCTCAAGCTTGGGTTGAACATGAACTACTTATAAAATCACCAAGTCATGTCTAATTCATGACATACTCTACTTGACTTGGCTGGATTACAACTCTAACATATGATTGAATTAGGCTTGACTCATTCTAGTCTAAAAATTATATATATAT